AAGCGCTCGTCGGAAATGTAACGCCCCTTACATTATCGCGAGCTTCATCTTTCAAAATAAATGTAAAGACAGAGCCCGAAAGGGGAACAGAGTCGCGTGACAGACACAGTGATGAAGCTGGTATGTGTTTGCAGTACACAAGCCAAGGTTAAGACAGCTGACTCCACTGTGATGTGACCCTATGTCTCTCTCTCGCTCACACACACACACGCGCGCGCTCACACACACGCACGCACGCACGCGATGCGCAAAACTCCGCATTTGAATAGTCAATAGCAAATACTTAAACTAATAACAAAACAGTAGCTGATTCAGAAGCGCCAGATTGTCATAGCAAAGTCAGAATTACCTCCTCTCCTAGGTTCACGAAACGGTCGTCCATAAAATGCATTGCTGTTCTGTTGTAAGTAATCTTAAAGATTCCTAAATGCATCTACTTTCGGAAGGCCAAATAAAGTGCTTTTGCTTTCGCCTAGAAACACACAGCGTCTCCCTGACATGGCTGCATCAACACTAACTGCGGTTACTGAAACCACGCCTTCTTTCTTTGCGTGCACGTTTGGGTGGCATTATGCTAATATTTCCACATAGTGAGGTAGATATGTGGGGGCGTGTTAGAACGAGCCGTTTTAGGGGGGCGTGGCAGAGTCTTAACTTTGACAAAGAATATCTCTTTGGTTTTGAGACTTTAGTCTTTGCAACTTCAGGGATCTTATCTATGCACAATCAGCTTGTAACACTCCAAAGAGAAAGGAAAACTTGAAATCGCATCATATGACCCCTTTAAACTTGGGAAGAGCTTATTTGGTCGTTCAGTTGGTGACAGACCTTGGGCTGCCTTTCCATGTCCTGGAATAAAGTGTTCAAAGACAGGCAGGAAAGTGCAGTGTTTATTTACATGGGACCTGGCTTATGTGCCGTGTTTGAATTGGATCAACAGCTCTAGTGAGACTTGATCACCTTAGCTGGCTCACAGTCCACATGATCTGGGTATGAAATAATGGCAGCCAACAAATATACAAATTCAATCTCCCACTAACAAGTAAATATGCACATGTGCTCCGAGTGCTATGGCAAGCACACAAGCCAAATATACACTCATTCTCACATAGGCATTTTAACAGTTGTGTCTATACACACACACTTGACTGTAGCGGTGTTCACAATGGGTCTGTCTGAACGCAGAAGATTCTGCAGTAGTCAAAGCTCCTGTTGTGTGACAGAGGAGGTGTCAGCTAATCTGAATTCATGAAACACCCACAACAGATCAAGATGAAAGGCCAGGGAGGAAGAGATGGCTCTCGATCAGCTGCATGCTGCTCATAATCATCATTTTATCACATTAATGGAAGACTATGTTTTTCATTCTGTAAATCAAATACATTACTGCAGATGCTTCTCTGTTAAAAAAATCTGTTTTCCATTACACAGTGTAAATACATGTCTTCCAGATAATTGTTTTCCAAACATTTTGGTAAACATTTACTCCTACTACTTGTTTGGTAATCTTAAAGGGGTCATATGATGCGATTTAAATTTTTCCTTTCTCTTTGGAGTGTTACAAGCTCTTGGTGCATAAAGAAGATCTGTAAAGTTGCAAAGACTAAAGTCTCAAATCCAAAGAGATATTCTTTATAAAAGTTAAGAATCAGCCACGCCTACCTAAAACGGCTCGTTCTAACACTCCCCCACATATCTACCTCACTATGTGGGAAGATTTGCATAACACCGCCCAAATGTTCACGCAAAGAAAGAAGGCATAACTTTTATTCTCGCTGTAGTATTGTTGTTGCCGCCGCCATGTCGTGAAGGCACTGTGTGATTCGTTGTGAAAGCGAAACTACTTTGTTTGGCCTTCCAAAAGAGGACGGTATCTGCTTCGTCATGCCTGGAGCTGATCCGTGCTGGTTGCTGAGGAAATACTACAACTTTGCGCTGTGGATCGCCGGATCGGCTTTCACCGTGGACGAAGCGGAGTCCAGCCCGGAGTGTTACATGTCCTTCCAGACGCTCCTTCATCAAAATCGCCGGCCGTGCCGTTCTCAAGCCTGCCGCCTCTGCTCACTCTAGCCCTCCGGCCGTTCCTCACGCTAGCCCCCGGCCTCTGCTCACTGTAGGCCGCCGAACGAATGCCTCGTTTATAATGGGTTTTCATGTTTTTGAATCATCGCTCCGGCCTGACAGGGCATCATCACAGTATGGTAAGGGGCGCAACATTTCCGTCACACGCTTGAGGTATTCGGCCAATCATAACGCACTGGATAGCTGGCCAATCACAGCACACCTCACTTTTCAGACCGATGAGCTTTGTAAAAATCGACGCGTTTCAGAAAGGCGGGGCATAGAGGAGAAACAATAATGTACAGTATGTGGAAAATAATGTGTTTTTTGAACCTTAAACCGCATAAACACATTTCATTACACCAAATACACAAAATAATGTTCTTTTTAGCAGCATCATATGACCCCTTTAAGAAATCTACACTACTGTTCAAAAGTTTGAGTTAAGAAAGATTTTTTAATAAATTGAAACAGATTAATACTTTTTCAGCAAGGATGCATTAATTTGATCAGAAGTGACAGAAAGACATTTATAATGTTACAAAACATTTCTATTTCAAATAAATGCTGCTCTTTTAAATTTTCCATTCATAGAATTCTGCGAAATTTCTTCCATTAAAAAAAATATTACAAACCCAGAATTTTTGAATAGTATGTCTACCTAAAAGAAATTATGATATATTGAACAATTTTTTGAGCTCACCCTCTAGATTTCCTGGCTTTTCGGCAATGCGGATCTGTCTCTCCGGGACCACGGGCTCCCCCTCAGCATTGCCAATGTCGGCAGGGAGGAGAGGCAGACCAATCCTCTCCTCTTTTTTTGAACGTGGGTAATACAAAGGCATTAACTTCCTGTACACTGGCTGGAAAACAGAATAAAATACAACAACATTTAGGGTCAATCAGTAATAGATACACATTCAGGTACATGCTAAAAAAATACAAATCTTATTTTGTATTTGTGAATTTTTTTTAAATAATGCAATTTAAAGAAATGTTAGCAAGGAATACATGAATCTCGAATGTATAATGCTGTAGCTCACACTCAGCAAACACATACACAACAAAGTTGGCTTTTAAATCAAAACGAGAATTTCATAAGAAAATGAAAGAGCACACAAGAGAGTTAAAGGATGGAGGCTGTTGCATAACAGCGAAAATGAAATGCCACACACCTCCTCAACATCCGAAACAGCAAACACCACCACCTCAATGTTTTCACCATGGTTCTCCAGAAATCTACGAACAGTCCCTAGAAATATAAATGTGGGGGAAACACATTGTAATGAGATCCCTCTGAATTTCATCAGAAAGGAGTGACCTCAAATGTGATTTTTAATTTCGAAACATTAATTACTTAATGCTATATGTGTGGCGTCCTCCAGTGGATATGCCCTTTTGACTGTGCTGACCACACAAAACCCCACAGATGCCATGGCATGTTCCCTGAGGAGAGAAACACAATGAATAAACATTAAATACGTTGCATGTGCTTCAATTATATATAGTTTACATTAGTCAGTCGGGTTTTCCATATAGGAGTTTTCCATATATGAGCAGACAGAAGTGTCTTTGATGACATGTTATCTGCATAGTCAAGCATTACTGTCATCAACACCTCCTGTTGACACACACACACACACACACACACACACACACACAGTTGTTCCCAAACAATAGATGAATGGCATTTATCTTTAGCCAAGGGTGAGTTCAAATTCACAAAAGCTAATGTATTCACCAATGGAATCTAAATCTCATATCATTTCCTTCCTTCCCATAAGCACATGGGGTTTATTCTATACATCATCAGACATCACTTTTAATAATTTTCAAGCAATGAACATAAAGGTTGGGGTTATTTTACTAAACACATCACTGCCATGGGAACTGCTATCCTGCTTATCATAAAATATTTGATTTAGACTGTATTTGAACATGTTATGTCTGATATGATCTTCGAGAGTGACTAACAGATAAAATAACTAAGCATATTTACTTAGTATAAACATGTCAGAACATTCAGACAGTCTGTATGAGCTGACATTTAATATTTGTGCAACAATCTCATTAAATTTGTTGGAATGATCCGGCTTACTTGGCAAGCTGCATGACATTTCTGTAACAACTGTAAAGAGAACTCTCCGCAGCTGTCCGGTACTTGGCTTTATATTTGGGTCCAACTGTGTGAATGATAAAGCGTGCAGCCAAGTTGAAACCCTCTGTCATTTTTGCCTCACCGGTCCGACATCCTGGAAAAATATACGCACACCCATATCACTCCAGCGAAAGTGATACAAAATGAGATACAAAATGAGATAAATGGGATAAGATCTGTTCCAAAGCTGTGTAACAAACACAAACAACCTTTAAAAATACTAATAGTTTAAGATCACAATTAGATAACAGTTCTCCATCTGCTATCCTGGTAGTGCCCCCTACCTTTCAGTTTGAGTAATTCATCCCTTAGTTCAGGTCCGGAGTATCTGTGGATACTGTCTGATACAGGGTTCTTGTCCGTTAGTGTCTCATTACTTGTACTGACGATTGCAGTGCAGTTTAAAAGTGCCACATCTCCATTACTGTAAAATGAGGGAATAATATAGACCAGCGTATCAGATACAGAACATCATATAAGCTATGAAAAAGCTGTGAGAACAAATATAGCATATAAATATCTGTGTTGTTATTGTAAAATAAAACAGTTAAAAATTATTGGTAATTGAAATAAAACTGAAATAAAATCAAATATAAATATTAAATGAAAAACATGAACTTCGATTAGAAAATAGAAAAGTTGCCTTGGTTTAAGAACTAAAGTTACTTACTAAAACTGAAAAGAAAAAAAAAAAGAAAAAAAACAAAAAAAAAAAGTCAAATGCACATAACAAAATTGCTAAAAACTAAATTAAACTTGAAATATAAAGAAAAACTAAAAATATCAATAAATAATATTAATAAACATGACAAACAATATATATATATATGTATCACACACATAGATACACATTCAGGTACATGCTAAAAATTATATATATGTATAATTGTATATAAATATATATATATATATATATATATATATATACACATACATACAGTAACTGTATATAACAGTTATTTTATTTTATAACATTAAGTGTTTAATATAAA